GCTGAAATATTGCGGAAATAATGGAAACAAAGTATGCCTAGGGTGAGTAATGTGAAAAGGAATGTGTGTGGGTTGTGCATGTCTGAGCAAAAGAATAAATCAACAGGTTATGTACAGCTAACAGAATGTGAGCCACGTGTTTGAATGCGGAAAATAAAATTCTGGAAGGAAATTAGAAGTATCAATAGATGATAAGATCAAGATTTATATTATATTTGGAAATTTACATTGGTTTTCATGCCGTAACCTCAAGGTTTGTATGAACGTACAATGAAAGAACCAAGAAATATAGAAAAGTACTAACAGGATTGGTTAATAATCAATGCAGAGGTACAAAATCTGATAATTTCAACCAGAGGGGAGGAATTCGTGTATCAACCTTAAGTCAAGTGATGAAATATGGGTAAATTTCAGCAATATCTATGAGAATGGTAAGAACAGCAAAGATATTTTGTTATAGAGGAATTTTTCATGTATAAATGCAAATTTGAACATGATATTGTAATCCACATTGCGTGTCAGACAGGTAAGTTTCCAAATTACAGTTTTAGGGAGTAAAATAGAAAAAATAATGCTTATAACTAAAATCTTACTTATGTTTTAGAACGTGACTTTGTAAATGCCTTGGAGTTAACGCACAAAGAAGAAAAAAGAATATATAATTTCAAAACTGAACTGACTGCCAAGGAAGTAAGAGGAAAACCAGATCTGTAGTCTTTAAACCTCAGCAGAAAAGATGTTTCAAGTACAATTCTGCTAAACATCTTGCATGTGCATGTTGGAAAAACAACAAAGGTAATAAAGAAATTGAATGTTGTAGTTGTGGCAAATTAGAATGAAAATCAGTAAAATTTGTAGGATTAGGAAGAGAAGACAAGGTTGAAGAAGTGTACTGTCTATGTGGGACTTGTAAGAAGTCCAATTATTTGGAAGAAATAATTTGGAATGTTTTTTTGAAAACATAAAGGAAAGAAAAGGAGATCAGGATAAAAAAAAGAACACGTGCTTCTTGACAGAGAACGATGGAATAGAATAATAGATTTTCGACTCCAGAACAACAAGCCATATGGTTGATAAACTAGAATATTTTAAAAACAGGAACAAATAGGAGTGGAATTTGGATCAGTGTAAAGAAATATTTCCATGGAAGCTAAAGCAAAATTTAGAATAGAGCCAGATACTTGAATATTGTTTGTGTGTTCCACACTTGAGACAGAATGTATTGTCAGTAAATCTGATAATTGGAGATGGTAGTAAAGTAATTTTCAAAATATATGAAGTAATAGTTCATAAAAACGAAGAAGAAATATTCTTATTGAATGTGTGTAATATGGACTTTATACTAGTAGAGAGGAACAAGAAGCCGGTAGAGAGGCACAGAAAATTGGGGAATCTATGTATAGGGAACATGAAAGAGTTGTCCAAGAAAGTATTGGAAATGAAATTAACGAAAAGAGTATTAAAGACAGGAATTGGAGAATACAGGATATTTTTGTGAAGCAAAGCAATCGAAGATTCCATTTGGAGAGACAAGAACAAGGTTGAAGAGCCAGTTGGAGGCAGAACATTCTGATTTATGTAAGCTTATAGAGCCAGAGACATGGAATAGAAATAGGTATGTTATGATAGTCTTAGATTTTATTAATTTTGTGAGGATTTATGTTATGGAATCAAATATTAAAGCATTACAGAGATTGTTTGTGTTGCAGCAGCAGAGCCAAAGTGGAATAACGTACAGATTTAAATGCGATAACGAGAAAAGGAAGGTTTACCAGTCGAGAATTCGAGAATTGGTGCAGACAGAAAGTTATTATATTGGATTATGCGTCACTGCAGACACCTCAATTGTATGGAAAGGCGAAGAGCCTTAATCGAACAGTATTGGATTACACATGTGCACTGCTGTACGACTGGAATGGAAAACAAATTTGAAGGTATGTATTTACCAGCTTATCTACAGAATAAAAGTTCTGCAAAAGCAATGAATACAACTGCATATGGAATGTGAGTAGGAGAAAGATCTCACTTATAAATTATGCATTTTTGGAGAAACTAATATTCTTTGTAACCTGAGAGTAATAAAGCAATTTTGTTTGCAGATTCGTTTCAAGGAAAGTCAACTCTGCAAGAATTATCCAATGAATATTACAGATTAAGTTTTGTTTTGTACAGTATAGTTAAATAAATGATACAGCATAATCTTTGTACCAAGAGTTTGGTTCATTTCAATATTAGAATTACTAAAGTTGTCTAGTGCATAAAATATTTCAAATTTATAGCTCTTTTGGCAAAAGTTAATATTAATTTTATTCAGATAGAAAAGTAATTATACATACTTATATCTTTTATGCCTTTGACCTCTTTGGTATGTCTGGATAAATTAATTCCTTTTTAATTAATTAATTAAAAATAATTATTGCACAGAAGATGTACTGATATCGAAGATAATATAAATTTTTCATTAATTACTATCTTTTATACAAGTAGTTTACGAATTACCTGTATACATTACAAAGACTACTGTTATGCATGTTCATATAATATTTTATTGTTATATGTAATTTGCAAACAGTTTATAAATTATTACACTGATTGTTAGTAACAAATTAACATTATTAATAAGAAATTGTTCACGAAGCAAAACTCATTTGTCGGTTCGACTTCGGAAGTGTAACATCTAAATTTTCGTTCTGCGCTAGGGGTGGGAATTCCAAGTAAGGTTAGGGCTAGCCACCCCATCCTCACCCCACCCCATTAAATAATTTACTAATCATTTTTCTTTTATTTTCAGATATTAATTATTTTTTTCTTTCAGCTTTTAATTATTTTTTCACTTTCCAGCTTTTATTTTCTGTTTCTACTTATTTTCATTCGAGTATTTCGTATAATATTCGAATGTTTTGTCATTGGATTCTTTACGTCTCATCGTTGGGTTGTTAATCATTTTCTTTATCAGGTCTAATCTATTTTTCTTTCAGGCTTTAATAATTTTTTTTATTTTCAGATTTTAATTATTTTTATTTTTCCACGTTTTATTTTGTGGTTTCTATTCATCTTTATGCGAACATTGGAATATTTCATATAATATTCGAATGTTTCGTCGTTGGTTTGTTTCTGTCTCATCGATGGGTTGCTCTTTCCACTTGGTTAACCTTCATGGTTTCTACTCGTTCGTTTTCTTTCCTCGTACTAATCCTTTTCATTTCAGGTTTATATTAAGAATATTTTATTCTGTTTCAGCTTTTAGGTTCCTCAAAATATGCCTATAATTTGGAAAAGGTTTACAAATTAATACACTTATTGTTAATAACAAATTGTTCACAACATAAATTTACAATACAAGTGGAAAAGTTACTAAATTATACTATTGCTAGTATATATAACGTATTTGCGTGAAAATGTATCTATAATTAGCAAAAAGTTAATAAATTACTACATTTATTGTTAATAACAAATATTTTGCAACGTACATTAACGATAAAAGTAAAAAAGTTAATAAATTATTGGCTACTACTTAAACAAACAACGTATTTGTGATAAAATGTATTCGTAACTTACAAAAAGTTAATAAATTAATAAATTTATTGTTAATAATAAATTAAAATCGTTGGTAACAAATAGCTTGCAACGTATATTAACGATAAAAGTAAAAAAAGTTAATAAATTATTAGTTATTACAGCGAAAAAGTAACTTTTAAAGGAATCGGTAAAGTACGGAAATTTTCGCCGATCTTCGGCCGGCCGCCGCTATATAAGGGGCCCGCGTGCAGGCTCGAGCCAGTTGTCGCTTCGACTTCGGAAGGTCCGCGTTAATATTCTTTCTTTTTGTTTCAGGTTTTAATAATCTTTCTTCTTTCAGATTCTATTTCTTTTATTATAGAGTTCATTGTTTGTGCATTCGAGTATTTGGTACAATATTCGAATGCTTCGTCGTTGGTTTATTTGTATATCATCGTTGGCTAGATCAATGGCTATTCAGTGGCCATTGTCCACTCTCTTAAATAATTTAACAATAATTTCTTCTTTCAGGTTCTAATTATTTTTCTTCTTCCAGATTTTATTTCTTTCATTCTATTTGTCTCTTTGTTTCAGCATTCGAGTATTTCGTACAATATTCGAATGCTTCGTCGTTGGTTTACTTATGTCTCATCGTTGGCTAAATCTTTCCTTTCACAAATTTTACGACTTCCGTTCGATTTGTTTTCGTTAGAGCGTTCGAGTATTTCGTATAATACTCGAGCGCTTCCTCGTTGGTATGTTTATATCTCACCGTTGGAATGTTTCTGTCTCGTAGTTATGTTGCTCAGGTCTCGTCGTTGGCTTGCTCGTTCCATTTGGTTATTATCCTTGATGGTTTCCTCGTACTAATCCCTTTCCTTTCAGCTACATATTAACAATAATATATTCTGTTTTAGCTTTTAGGTTTCTCAAGATTCTGTTTGCGACACATCAATGAACGATGCGTGCGTTTACTTTTAAGTAATCATAAGATAGATCCATAGACTAAGTATCATGTGCGCGCTATCTGTACAAAGGTAAGCTACCTAACTTGGAGCGAAATTTATAAATTCTCTATCATTTTCTTATCCCCCTCGTTTAGCAAATAGAACATAATTGTTCTCGCGATAATCGCGATCGTTCGTAAGTACCGACTAGCCTACGCGACGTGCTCTCGTGTACTCGATAAGTACATGCTTCGTAAGTCATCCTCACGACTCGTCTCCGACACTCATTTCCAGTCACTGTCAATCTCGTCATGCATCGGGTTCCAGGGTGACCCCCTCGGATCAGTGCGTCTTCTGACCTCGACGGGGCGGTCCGCTGCCTAAGTCGTACGCGACTGGGGCTCGGGCACATGCTGGCTGACGGACTAGTACCATCTACGGTTAGACCACAGGGATGATTAAGTTCTACCCCGTGTGGCTGGGATGCGAAGTGTCTGTCTTGGCCGGCAACCGCCCAGCAGGGCCCTCGCGTTGACACTAGAAGTTTCATTGGTTCAGGGACTATCCTTGGCCCACGTGTAAGTCTTGGCGAGAGCGACAGTGACTGGAATTGAGCTAGGCCCGATTGGGAGGATGCCGAAGTATGAAGTTATCTCTGCACACGGGAGTACATCGTCTAGGCTAGTCGGTCTTTCGAATAAT